TTTGGAAGCAATGAGAATGGATTGAGCGATCAAACTTCATGAAATTCATTGAAATTTTGATCTGATTTTGCTGTATTTGATCATATCTTAGTCCGATTCCTCCGCCTTCTTGTTTTCCTCCCTCTAAATTGAATTTAGGGTTAAGACTAAGATGGATAGTGTACAAAGTAGGGGTGTTAATTCTGTTTGTAAACAGCATAATAATCATCATCTTGTACTGTAAAGTCTGACAGAAAATGGCGTATTAATAACAGATTTTATACCATTCTTTTATAAAGCAGACCGTCTATTATCCGATTTTGGGTGGTGAGAAACAAGAATTTCTTGGAAAAAGAGGTGCCATGAATACAATATATATATATATATATATATATGCCTTATTTTTTATTTATTTTATAAAAGAAATGTCATATTTTTAAAAGTATACAGAAAAATATGAATTTTTTTTTGGTTGATTACTGATTTTTTTTTTTTGAGACATCCCATCAATGGTATTTTTAAATATAATTATTTATAAGAGAAATGATATTTAAGAACCACAATTATCATGTCCTCTTGTTGTTTTCAATCGTCATCTTACAATTCACGTGAGTTTTGACGAAAACAATTTTAATAGATTTTAATTTAAGTTAATTTTTTATATTTCACCCAATTTTTAATTAAATTCCTACGCATGGAATCATAGAAATGTATGTATTCATTTTCCCTACAAGATTATTAACACTTAAAAGTTTGAATTTTTCATTTTTCGAAAAGAACGATGCTGTTGGGACTTGAATTTAGAACAGAAGTGTAGAAGCAAATTTCTTAAGAGAGCAGACATTAAGGATCTGATTAAACTGGAATGAAATACTGAAGTATAAGTAAATTAAGAAAAGACAGAAAGGGCATATATTAGTTAATGTTCTTATTTTGCAACGATCATAAAATAGTTTTGAAAATTTATGCTCGATGAACCCTTTTCAGAAATGATTGTTTATGTGAGCATTTGAATTACTTATTTTTAAGTAATTTTATGCCTTACCAATTTGATCTCATGAAGTCTGGAAGTACTTTTTTTATAGTTGCATTACACCTACACAATAATAATAATATCTTGTATATGAAGCCTATTTTTACTACCTAATTCATCTAAACTTCTCTAACAAAACTCCTTTTTTTTTTTTGAAAAAATTGGTGTTTAAGATATTGAACTCGCAACAAGTAAGCAATATAAACTTATTTATTGCAAGTTAAGAGTTATTTATAATTATATTCTTCGGTTAATGTAATTTTTGTTTACTCAAATTTGTCCTCATTTTAGTTTTGATTCTTAAAATTTTAAACATAGGTTTTAGTATTTGAAGTTTATTTTTATTTAAAATATTAGTTCCTTATAATTCAGTAAAAATTTAGACTGTTTTGTCCCTTAAAGGACTAAAACTTATAGTTTGAAACTCAGTAGACTAAAAATGAGAATAAATTTGAGAAATTAAAAATTATATTAACCCTATATTCTTTCTTTCGAACTTCACAGTAATTTTTCTTGTATAATACTTTACGGCTATGAGCTTATCATGTAGGACATACAGAATAAAAATACTGGCTTCTTCAGCATAAAAAATGAGTTATGGAGATTAAGTATAATTTGATCAACACTTGCAAGATCCTAAATCAATGACTTCTAAATAATATGATGAGATATACTTACTGAAAGAGACGAAAACAAACATAACATATTAATATTTGATGTTATCTTTCCATAAACAAAACCAATGAACTCTACCAAAGTGGTGTTCTAAGAGCATCCGTTATTCCGTTATATCGAAATGTAAAAACAAGAATCTCAAGTGCATTCTTTAGATGACTGAGTTTTCTATTAAGAATAATACTCCTCCGATCCTTAATATAAGACCCATTTAATTAATTTGATTAGATTAAGGAAGTTAGGTAAGTTAGTTAATTATAAGAAATGTGACACGTTTTTCCTAAATTATCATAATCATCTTTCTTAATACCCCTTATTCCTCTTCTACTTGATTATGGTGATAGAGTATCTATAGGGGTAATTTAGAGAAAATTGAAAAATATGATAATGGGTCTTATATTTAGGACCAAAACCAACTCACAATTGGGTCCTATATTAAGGACCGGAGGAAGTAATTATCTAATTATATGCCTACATTTGGCCAAAAAAATTTTTTTCATGCCTGCAGTAAACATATAAAAGTGAATATAAAAAAAAAGGATTAATGTGATTTTTTTTTCACTCATAAGGGCTATGCACCCTAATGCAAACCTACAAAACAATTTCAAGGCAATTTGGCTCATGGTGTTGCGCATTTAGACCCAACAAGCATTACTTGAATATAAATTCATCTACAGTTTGTTTATTTTGTTTAAGTCATCAAATTTATTTTTTAATTTTCGTTTTTTTTAATAAGGCCATGAGCCAAGAGTCATTAATTAGTGTTTCGGTTCCATTTAATTATTAATGACATATTAGGATTTATTTATTATTACTGTTGTTGTTGTTATGTGAGTCTTTTTTTAGTTTAAAAACCAATAGTACTATCCCCGTACGAGTGAGATTATTTTTCATGACTTGATTTTATATCCCTCTAATCAGATTTCTTTCGCTATCTGATTTACCCGATTTTAAAACATCTCTAATAAGAACTTGTCCTTGAAAACCTAGAAATTACAAATTGAGCAATGAGAAGCAATTAGAAAATAAAATAGAAAATTTATTAACTTTAACAAAATAAACAAACTCTAGCTGGATTGATATTCAAGTGTTTCTTCTTGGGTCTAAATGCGCAACACCCTAGCCGAAATTGCCTTGGACTTGCCCCTGAAATCTTTTCAACGTGCAAATTTTTTTTTAAAAAAATTAAATTCGTAGCAATTTTCTTCCCATTATTAAAAAATCTAAATTGACTATTAAAATAGTGACATTGACCATTAACATTTTTAATGGTATGAGACAAAATTATTATAATTTTAAAATATTGTGACAAATTTGCATTAGTTAAAAATTAACATTTGTCTGGTTTTGTCAGTCATTCAAAAACAGTAACTGTATAATAACATTTGAAGAACCTACAACAAAGCTGGAATAGCTCAGTTGGTTAGAGCGTGTGGCTGTTAACCACAAGGTCGGAGGTTGGGGGCAGAAAAGACTCTCGCCTCGTAAAATACTTCAAGACCCAATTTTACTTGGGTGAGGAAATTAGGAAAAACTATTTTGCAGATATTTATACTTTCCTTTAATTTTTAAGTTGGTTCTCGTGTACTTTTTTTCTCTTAACTGGATATTTTAATTTTACTAGCTAGTTTGAGTTTAATGAAAAGAGCTGATATATCAAAATATGATAAATTAAGATTCGAATTTTTATTAAAAGAGATGTTTACATGTAATTCCTAGAATAGGATTTTTTTAATAGGAGAATATTTATGCGTACAAAAAAAAATATTTTAATTTTTCTCTATCCAATTGATTCTTCATTTTTGTTTTTTTGCTTACCATTCCCCAACATTTTCGATTCTGATACCTTGATGGAACACAAAACCTGAACATATGTATTATTCGATGAAAATACTCCTCCACAAAATGTAAGTCTATGGAGTTTGGCCGCTGTGCAAGAGCTAATTGTGTTAACATAGCAAATTTAAAGTATTTAATTAAGAGGGAAAAAACATATAAATACTAAATTAAAAATTACTAAAAAGTATTTATATCTGCAAAATAGTTTTCTTAGAAAATTAAGTTCTCTTATTATAGCGTAAATTATTTATTTTATTATTTTAAATTAATGGTATTTATCTTTTCTATTAAAGCATGTTGTTCTACGGCAAATCAGATATTTTCTTTTGCATAGAATTTCTCCTTTTTCTTTCCCCAGATAGCTTAACAAGAAATTTTTATAATGTTTTTTTTAAAATATGAATTATACTTCTCAAAATTAGAACTTATGTTTTTTAGGTATAAGAATTTTTACCACTTAGTTTGTTAATTTTCATAATCTATGTTTTGTTTTTAATTTCAATTTTTTTGGGGAAAAAATGGGCAATGCTCATCCTAACTAATATCTATGGAAAAGTAAAGTAGAGTACTATTGTTTTTATTGTTGTTTGGTTATTTATTAATGTGCTTTATGATTGATTTGGTTTTTGTGGTTTTAAGTGATTTTAAAAAAATTTAAATCTTGGTATCTTTCAAGACATGGTATTTGAAGTAATTTTAAAAAATTTGTAACAGAAACTTTAAAATATTGAGATAAAACTTAAATGTATGCCTATCACTTATCAGTCATCATTAATCAACATCGCTTTTTATTTTTATTTTCTCACAAAATAACATTTATATAAATTGGATTATATGATTCATCAAGGCTTTTATCTTGCATATTATTATCAACAAGATAATTATGCCAACATTCAGGTTTTGGTGTGACAAAAAGAATAAAACATAATATAAAAAATTAATAAGAAACTCAACGAAATAAATATAATAAGTATTATACATTGACAATAATGAGTTGAAGTTTGTGTCTATTTTAAGAAAATCCATACACATTTAGTTTTCTAAATTTAAAAATTCTAATATTTAATTTGAAATATTTTTTCAATTTAATGTGCCATACCAAGTACCTGAAACTGTACTTTTTTTTTCCCTGAATGAATCAACCAAATTTAATCCTTAATCGTGAAATTAATTTTAATAAATTTATTAAGTTGTACTCTGCCGAAGTCAATTGAAGTTATTACAAATAAATACAAACCATGGTAAAAAAATGGAAATAAAATCAATGCAAAAAATAAAAAAATACAATGAGGTCCCTAATAAAAAAATAATTACAAAACAAGTAATCTCTTGCTTTAAAATTTGTCATTATAAATGGCTTAAGTAATTATTAAAATTTCTTAATAATAATTTTTTTTTGGGGACGTCGTTATAAATTATAATTCTTTCAATATAAAAAAATCTTGGTCTGAGAGATAACCTGTATCAGAGTGACTCAAAACTTGCAGAAGGCTGCCCGGGTCTTTTCTCTCTGACCTTCACTCCAATGGCTGTACTTCAATTACACATACCTCACAGTCATCGGAGCGTAGCTTCACTCTCTCCGTTCACTACTTTCACTTCTAAATTGAAACCCTTTTGCATTTCCTTTGCGAATCCTTCATCTTCCTCCATAACTCATCAACGTTATCCACTCTTCACCTCCAACGATAGAGATAGGCTTCTTTCTCTCTCAACTACAATCCCCAGAAAATTGCTTTGCAAACCACCTCAAGGGAAATTTGTCAGAGAAGACTATCTTGTGGTACGTTATATGCCCCTCGCTCCTGTTTGTCACTGCAAGCTAAGCTAGGCTTTCCATTTTGCTGTTTTCTCGGTTTTACAGGCTGATTGTTTCCTGGCTTGTGTGTCTGTAGTTTTCTTTTTTCTTTTTGGGCGTTAGTGGTCACTGATAAGAATTTTGGGTAAGGACGAACCGTTTAATTTCTTTCGGTGCTTCTGTTCCTGGCAATGGGCTATGACAGCATTTTTCAGTTCCTTAAAGTGTAAAGTTCGGATTCTGAGAATTATTGGCAAAAGATGAGTCATTCTAAACAAACTTATATAAATGGTCAATAGTTTTTTTTTGTTTTAAGAATTAACTATAAGTAATTATTCTTAATACATTGGACTGCACAATTAGAAATTTGTTGTAAACGACTGTTATTTTAGACGGAGAGAATCAGAAGGCTGAGGAGTAAATCTCCATTTGTCATCGTACGAAGGAATTCAGTGAGGGGCAAATAATAAAGCGTTTTTGCTTTTATAAGAATAAACACTGGGTTTTGCAGGATTTTTTTTCCCTTCATTATACTTCTATTTATGGAAAGAAATGAAGTTTGATGATGTGGTGATGCTATTTATCATCAATTTGGTTGTGCAGAAAAAGCTGTCAGCCGATGAAGTCCAAGAGTTGGTGAGGGGAGAAAGAAATGTGCCTCTTATTATTGATTTCTATGCAACATGGTGTGGACCTTGTATTTTAATGGCTCAAGAACTTGAAATGGTATGTGCTTGACTGATTCTATTGATTCTTAAATTTGCAGTAACTTGATGATGAGGATCTGTTTGCCCTGCTCTTATCCTTAAGTGTCCATTCTGATGTGGATTTTAATTGAGCAAACTACCAAAATACGTGTTCTCTCGAAGTATATATCTTTTTCCTATGTGGTGCACGAAAGAGATAATAAATAAAGAAGTTTCTCAATGTTTTCTCATCATTGTAAACAATTAGTCCCTATTGAATTATGTGGAGAAATGTTGAAAAGAAAAAGATTATACTAAACCCTATGGAGTGACTAGAGAATGATTGAAAGAATAAAAAGGTTGCACAAAGGTCAAGAGGAGGCAGCTTGTAAAAGGATACTGGAAACTTGTTCCATAAATAAATGCTAAAAGATGTAAAAACAAGTGAGCCACTGTATCAGAGTCATTCACACAAATGAAACTTTTTGGTGAGGGAAAGAATTATGTTAAACCTGCAAATGTGGAGCAGGTCAGGAGTACTGGCTCTGTTGAGTACTGTTATTCACATTGCCTATGATGAATCTGTTAAATTTCAAATAGGCTTAAAATGAAGTCTTAAGGAAAGTGAATTAAGGCTTGCCTGGATAGACACCATACTCCGTTAGGATCCAATTACCAGACTCATTAACGTGAGGTAGCATGAACAGAATCAAGGAGGATCATAAGAGATTTTTGGCCATCCATGTTGACTAGAAGGTTGAAGGATCTTTAATGACATGAGGGTTCCAAGAAAATCCATTTCCTTGTGCAGACTGAAAAGATTGGACCGTTAAAAAATATGGTTATAAACTTGGAAGGAACCTGAAAGAGAGAAAGATCTCCCACCCAATATGGCCTATCCGACATGGGACTGGAATTGTGTTAGAAATTTCTTGCATATGCTTTGACCCAAATGTTCAGGTTACCATTTATTTGATAATCTTTTTGGTTGGGGTCCTTAGGGATGATTTATAAGATAATATTGTGGGTTTGACGTCTAGTTCTTGGTGCTTAATAGAGAAGGTGAAAGTTGAGATAGTTGGAGAGAGCATAATCCGGTCTCGTGTTACTGCATTCCATCCAACCCTCCCCTCCCCCCAACAAAAAAAAAAAAGAGATTCATTATTCATTTGGAATTCACTTGTCAGGCAAAAAAGGCGCATGATTGACTGAATAGATAAGAAATACAACGAACTGCCTAGACAAGAAATAACTAAAGAAAGTGGTGAGGACTACGTGACAGTAGGCACATGAAAATCAATACAAAACTTACGCCTATGCAAAGTCATTTATGAAATCCGAACTTGGAAGTTTAACACAATTTTAGCCAGAAGTTTTCTATTCTGGTTTACTCATGTTTAGAGTGATTTTGATTCTTGAAAGTAACTCAGCTAGCATAGCCTGATTCTCATACAAATGCATTAGGTGATAAATCATTCAATATGTTGAGAGAAATTGGTAGAAGTTGTATGGTTTTTTTGTTGGCGACAATGCACAAGTCAATTCTCATGTTGAGGATTGTGCTTCCTCTGGCATTAGGTTAGGTGACATGAGCCTATAGTTAATTTAGTTCTAATGTCTAACTCTGAGCATATCACTTTAGAGCTGTGATTTTCATCAATGGCCCTGGTTTTTTTTTTTTGGGCCCGATCATTAAACCTGATTTAAATAATCATAATTCTGTATAAAATCTTTCGAATTTGGATCCCCTAAATGTGATCTTTTGTTCAATGAAATATGATCAATAAATGTATAGTATCCTGTTCTTTCTGTATTTGATGCTCTAGATGACCCCTTCAATTTGGCTTTTTGCGGGATTTTGAATCCCTAATAACTATGACAACTTGATCAGTTTTAGAGGATTTGATCACACATTCAACAAACAGTTAAACAGTAGAGGAGCTTTTGTCAACTTTCATTGTAAAAGAGTCGAGATGGTTAAAAAAACTTTTCATATATTCTTGGAGACTACTGCACAAGAAAAATTATTTAACTTATGTTCCACTTAATGATTGCTAACTATATTTATTAATAGGTATTAGCCAAAAGCAAGCTAAATCATTGTAATCATTATCCAGAGCTACTAGATCAGTTTTAGAATTGTTTGGCTCACACTTTCTGATAACTTAACATTTATTTTCTCAAATTTATTGACTCATGGGAATTACAAGCGTTGCATATATAATTTAACACTGTTGTTTCAGCCGTGTTTGTCATTGGTGACCGGTTAATTTGGGAGCTGAGAAATGACTTTCCTCATTTGGATTTCATTTTCTGCAGCTTGCGGTGGAGTATGAGAGCAATGCAATGATTGTCAAGGTTGATACAGACGATGAGTATGAATTTGCACGTGACATGCAGGTAATAGGCCTCTTTATGTGTAACTTTATTGAAGTGACTCATTACTTGGATGATTATGCAAACCAACTTTGATTAATTTAATTATTTAGTAAAGATAGCCATTTTTTTTTTTTTTTGGATTTTGTCCTTTGAAGATAAAACTTATCAATTTAAACTTCCAAATATTTCTTTTTCTGAATCAAATCAGTCCTTATGTTAGGCAAAGTGACAATCACTTAATAGATTTCCTGATGCGGCATAAACAAGAGCTTACATGAGCATTTATTTATAAGTTGAACTCACCCTCTTGTCATTTCCTTCCTTAAAATGACATCTTTTAGACGCAATTGACGATATACATGTTTATCATTAAAAAAAAAAAAAGAAGAAAAAGAAAAGAAACGTTGATGGCAGACAAGACATCATCCTGTGCCGCCTCACCTGACTATAATTTTCCCAAGAATTTTTTATTTTGGGGAACACTGACAGTTAGGCTAATCCCAGTTTGGAGCTAATATCAAGAATGACTCCGTCTTCTTTTTTTTTTTTTTTTTTTGGTGAATAGACCAAAGTTTAGGTGAGTTGGGTTCTAGACGTTCTCTAAAATTAGAGTAAGCTTCACAGCTTAAAGAGTTCTTGTAGAGCTACTTACTTATCATGCACCAATGAAGTTTTCACATGGAAAGGAGATTGAACATCCAAGATATGAGTAACTTCTTTACCAATTAGACCAATTTTTGTTGTCAGCTCTTATCCTTTCCATTCTAACAAGTTTTTCAATTGATCATAACTTTGTGAGCCACTTTGATTAGGAGAAATTCTTAAAGAGGATGATCAAATTAAGAAGAGAGGAATCTGTTTTAGCTCGGTTCTATCCCAGCTCATTCCATTTGGTCTTCAGGCTAAAACTGGCCGTGATGGGCTACAAGATGCGAAAAGCAGCCATGCCTATCTTGAGAGGGGCAGCGGGCAAGGGTTCAGGCCTGCCATCCTGACCCATGAACAACCCTAACTTTTTTTGGACTAAATCACCAAAACGATTCCACGTCACTGCTGCTAAAATGTTAAAATGATCCTGTTCATTAGTCTTTTAAGATAATAACTCTACAATAGTTAGATTCATTTATTATTCTATAGGTTTCTGTTTATGCTTCCAATCCCCTTTATGAAACTTTGAAAATGACTTAGATCCAATGGATTTATTAGTTTTTAAATCCAACGGCTTCATTAACACTGACATTGATCATGTTTCAGGTTCGAGGATTGCCTACCCTGTTTTTCATCAGTCCTGATCCAAACAAAGAAGCAATTCGAACCGAAGGACTTATCCCTATACAGATGATGCGAGATATCCTCGACAAGGAGATGTGAAAATAGTGATTTTGCCATGAGACATTGTGAATTCTGTTGTAATGTTAGCTTCTGTAGGACACATCTGATGCATGAATCGAATCGACCCTTTTCCTTTTTGTGGTCACAAAGATGGCAATTACATGTGTTCAAAGCCATCATGTTTTTCTTCTGTCGGATAAGAAAAATATTCAATGGGAATTCATGTTGCCAATTTTGACGACCTTTTGGGCACGGTCAGATTTGATTCATCGAACATGGTATAATGGTTGTTGAAGGCTGCTCTGTTTTTGGGGTAGCTGGAGAGTTGAGCTTATTTAGTTAAAAACGTGTTTTCTTCTTGTTTTCAAGGTAGTAAGATGGAAGAGGAATAACAAAATGATTGAGCTTTTGACCAAAATTTTTTTTGATTTTACTGCTCAAGAATATTGTGGGCAAGAATGCAAGAATTATGCAAGGAAATGATCATTCTTATTGAATAATTATAGAAATAGGAAAAATATATCATATTTTATTTTTTGTGAAATTTAAAAATAATTTTTTTTAACAATTGGATTTTGGTGCCAAATAGGTGAATGTATTTTTTTTTTGAATGAAAAGAGGAAGACAGGTAAAAAATTACAGAAGTACAACGCAAAAACAATTAAGCCCTGCTCTGCTCCCCATCCGCTTGGGAGGACGAGCACCATGTGCTCATTTTTAAAATAAAATGAGGAATATCTAAATTTAATTTATACAATTAATATTTAAATTTTGAGTTTACTTTTTTTATGTTAAAAATATGTTTTTTATTCAAAAGAGTAATTAGAAAATTATATTAACCTTATCTTTTGCATCAGTAAAGATAAAAAAAAATTAATTAAAATATTAAGAATAAAATGAATTAAAATAATAATTGCCCAATTCTAATCCGGATCATGCGAAGTTTTTTTTTTAAAAAAAAAAATTGATGGATTCCTTTGGGTAAATGGTTAACAACATTTAAAACTGCTATTGTCCGTTGAATTGATTATCGAGGGGGGAAAAAATAAAGTGAATTGATTATCTTTGATGGTTGTTATTATTTTGTAAAGTGTATTCTATGGCTTGTGATGAGATTAATCTCAGCAAATTGGTTTAGAAGATTTAATGAACATACCACATTCAATGTTTTTGGCCACCGGCACATAAACATAATTATAATCATTTTGTATTAGTAGTTAAGCAATCTATTCAATTTTAATCTTTTGATAACAAACAATCTCTTATATTAAATATTTTTTAATAAATTTTTTTCTGTCCGAATCCCAAGTCTTATTTCTCATTCTCAGTGTTTCATATCGAAAGACCTAAGGTGAAGAAATTAATAAAATCAAATACTTTATCATATACTCAATCCTAATTTTTTTTTTTCAGGATGATAAAATTGGCCTGCCTAATTAATTTTCTTTGGGTTGGCCTTCTAGAAGAGTTAGGAAAACATCTTAGCTCTCACGTGGATGTAAAGAGAAATAAATCCATAATTTAATCTAAAGTCCTCAGCAAAATGTAGAATTAAGGAAAAATGATAGAAAAAGAACATGAAAATTACATAATCTCAAATTAAAAATTATTACAAAAATATATTGTTATTTACAAGTCAATTGTAATCAAAAGTTGTTAAAGTGTAGAAAATAAATCTGATAATTTTTAGGTTCCTTTTCTGTCATTTTTTCCCGAATTAATTCAAAGGAAAACTTAATTTGTAAATCCATAACTTACCGTGAAGTCCTAATTAAATTCTTGATTAATTTTGACCAAATTGGTGTTGTCTGCTTCCAGTATCAACGTGATGCCCAATGCTGATTGATTCAGCTTGTATTATTTTTTAAAAAAATTAATTTGTAAATTCTTATAATTTATTGTAATTTTGAATAAGGTCCCTATAATTTATGTTGTTTGAATTGGGTCCTCGTTGTTTGATTTTGAATTAAGTCCCTCTACTTCATAAATTTTATGAAATTTCATTTATAGAAGTTTTCGCATGTTAAAATAACGTCATAAAGTTGATGAACCTCTCAGAGTGCTATGTACACATAAAAAATAAGATCAGAGGTAAAAATTGCACCTTACCCGATTAAAATTACCATTAAAACATTTTTTCATCTGAAATCTTGTTCAGCAAGCCTTACTAGTGGGTAACATTCTGCAGCCACATCATCTTGTAAACAATAATTAACTGTCCTTTTGGCTCCTGTCATCTTGAAACCATTGATCACCTCTATACACATTGTAATTATTCCAAAGCTCCATGATCTGTTTGTTTGTCCATTTACATATCTAACTTCAGTCAATCTAGCATCATTGGTTGGATCCTATCCACCCCCAACATGTTGTACTGAAATGGAAAATTGGCTTAACATAATTTGATGTATGAGTAAACTATTAGAAAAGACTCCATATAAGATGATTATTTGAGTGGGCCAAATTCTAATATGTTAGACCCCAACAGGATAACTCTCAGACATCATATGCCAATACTCCCTCCATTAAGACCAATGCCTGTTGATTATCTACAAAATATTTAACCAAGTTTTAGCAACACTGAGTATATGAAGCTGGAAAGAAATTTTTGGAAAAATAAGTTATATAAAGTGGTAAATACTAAATACTTTTGAATACACATGTCAGCACAAAACAAAATATAAAATTGATAGGTTAAAAATGTAAAGAGTTGAGTGAAGAACAACAATGTAAACTGTAATTCATTTTGGTTAAAACAAATAGTGTTTGCCAAATTAATGATGAATGATTAAGGGGATCTCTTATCTATGAATTACTACCTCCAATCCTAATTATAAGAGCCAGTTGACTAATTTGAGGAGATTAAGAAAGTAAGTTGAGTTAGTTATTTGTCCTAAATAAGTGTTGTCTTTCCTAAAATATCCTTACTAATCAAGTGTATTAACTAGAACTATAATTATTAGAAGGATTATCTTAAAAAAATTAAGTAAATATGAGAGACAAAGTGGATAGAGTCTTATATTTAGGACCAAAATAAAAGTCAAATATGGTCTTATATTAAGGACCGGAGGTAGTATGATACTTGAATTATGCAGTTTTAATAAATATAAATTTTGTAAGGTAATGTATAGATAAGCATCTGGTCAAAGAAGAAAAGGTGTAGCTAAATATAGCCCAACATGGTTTCTTTTTAATAATTTAAAATCTTGGGCAGCATTCCTTTTCAAGCGTTGTGCCTTCCCACTAATATTAAATAATGTGGTACTGTTGTAATTATTAATGAATAATTAATTAAAAGTATATTAATCCTTGCTTAATAAGCTTTCTTTCACAGTCTCACTTGCGTGTACCAAATGACGTGCGATTCCATTCCTTTTTTTTCTTTTTGGTATAGTCACATTCGATGCATCAATTGAAGCAAGTGTTTGTTATATTAATTAAATTAAACTTTGATTAAATTAAAATATGTAAAGTAATTTATTTTAAGACATAAAAAATAGAATAAATTATATAAAACTCTCGTAGACTTTAACTCATATACAAATAACTCCATAACATTTAAAATTTAATAATAAATAAATTATATAAATAAATAATGAACAGACTTACAATTGAAAAAAGTTAATTACATAAATGTAAGAATTTAGAGGATTTAATGTGAAGTTTCAAAAACAAATGAGATTCATCTGCACACGACATAAAAGTTTATGGGAATTGTTTATACTTTAATGTTAAAAATATGGTGCTTATAAAATTTTGGTCAAAAAATTATGTACTCCTCCGGTCCTTATTATAAGACCCCATTTGACTTTTTATTTGGTCCTAATTATAAGACCATAATCCATTTTGTCTTTTATATTTATGCATTTTTTTCCAAGATAATCCTTCTAATAATGATAGTTTTAGCCAATATACTTAATTAGCAAGGATATTTTAAGAATGACAACACTTATTTATTATAAATAACCAACTTAACTTACTTCCTTAATCTCCTCAAATAAGTCAATTGGGTCTTATAATTAGGACCGGAGGAGTATAATGATTATATAGTTGAACAAAAAGGTTACGTGTAAGTTCTTCTTTCTTCAAATGCAAAGTAAGGTACGAGAGAACAAACTCAACTAATCATGTGGTTTCATATGAAGAACATGCATGTTTGGCACACTTTGCTTGTTTTTCTTTTCTTTCTTTTGTTTTATTTTTTCATTAATTAATTTGCATATACGTTTTTTCCCCAAAGTAATACTACCTCGGTACTTGTTCTTGGCAGATTGGTTCAGCAATTGTATATTTGAGTCTTTGCCATGATAACGTAAGTAAACCTTTGATCACTTTATTTTCTATTTTATTTTTAAACACTTAATAATACTAAGTACTCTTTCGATATTTAATATAAGATTTATTTAACTAATTTGATTAGATTAAAAAAGTTAGATAAGTTAGTTAATTATAAAAAATATGATATATTTTTTCCAAAGTATCATAATTATCTTTCATAATATCCTCCCTCCTTATCTTATTTGATTATGGTTGAGGGAGTATTAATAAGGATAATTTAAGAAACATTGATAAATATAATAAATAGGTCTTATATTTAAGACCAAAATCAATTAAGAACCAGAGGAGTATTTTTTTAAAAAAAAAATTAAAGGATGAAATTAGACTTTAAAAAGTGCCATCATTGAAATGCCTTTAAAATTAAACCTTATTATAGTTTTAATTTCTGAAATTTGAAATTTGTCCTCATTTTGATTTGTCTAAAATTTTAAATTAAAATGAACTTAAATTTCATAAACTAAAAATAGTATTAGCCTTTTTCAAGAAATGAAAACTATCCATCATCAAACTTCAGACCAATCATGAGCCCACTTAATTAAGTAATTGATTAAAATTACCAAATATTTTATGTTAAATAAAATTAAGATGCTAAAAGTTTATTTTTGTTTATTACTAAATTTGCTATAAAATTTTAAAAAAAAAACAGAGGCAATGAAGAATCAACAAAAGAATCCCTCTGTATATCTCCATAGTCACTACAAATATGATGAATGAAGAATTATCGTTTCTCCTGATTTTACAATTTTTATATAAAGACGAAAATGGAGCACAATTTTCACGCGCATAATAATCACAGTGGCTAGCCTTGCGAAAAAGCAGAACGGGGCGGCCGTCGTGTACGCCGCACAGATTATTCCCTAACCTACACGCGCCACCTCAACGACGACGTTTCTAGACGTGCTTCCACAGGAGAAAACGCCAATAGCAAAAG